AATCGTGTCGGTTAATTCTCGAATGCGACTTACAACCTCATCAAAACCTTCAAATGCTTCACTGAAATCTATAAAGGTATCAAGTAATTTATTTGGGTCCAAACTTTTAACCACATTAACTAGGTTGATAGTTCCACTAGCAATTTTAAAAGTTCGACGCATAACTTCTTGCCATAATTTTTCATCACTTGGGATGTAAAACAATGCCTGGCAAGCGTAGTGAGCATGGTAAGCTAACTTCGGGTTTTTTTTTAACTCTTTAAGCTGTTGATATAATGGCGCATATAGCTTCTCACGATTGATACCTTTAACGCCTATCTGCACCATGGCATCTAATAATGGACAGAGCGTTTGTAATAATTCACTGAGCTCGAACTCATTGTCTTGTTTGTGCAGTTCATCTAGACGGTCATGTAATATTTTTAATACTGCCACTAAATTTCCGGTACTAATTTTTCCGACAATTAAGTTAGACATGTTTTGAATCACTCGAGTTAAGCAAAACAAATGTTTGGAATGTTGCAATGTTGAATTTTTGATTTCGTTAATGCTCAACTCTAACAAATCTTTATAAATTTCTTCGCTCGGAATGGATGCTAATATAACAACTTCATTAATTATCTTTTGGGTTTTGGGCTTTTTATGAGCAAACAGTTGAACAATATCTTGAGCTAATTTTGTTAGTTGTGGAGCTTGTTCCTGAGTATGATTATTAGGTTGCAGGTAATAGGCTAAATCTTGAGTGCTGCTAATATTATTTATGTCATTTATCTTCGACTGTGGGGAGGATGTTACTAAAGGATCTTGGATAAAAAACTCTAGTTTTGGTAAAAACGTCGGCGTCGTTTTCTCTATCAAGGAGGTCGTTGATACACTTGAACCAGTATAAGAGTTTTTTATAGGTGTATTTTCTGCTTGCAAGGGTTTTTCTGATGTTAAGGATTTGGCTAATGCTTCGCAATACTTCGGGTCATGATTTTGAGCTTCTTTGTAGCAAGCATTCGCATTATTCATTTCTTCTAAGCTTTTGTAGACGTCACCACACTCGAAGTAAGCTTCGGCTAAGTGCCTTTTTACGTCATGAAATAAGGAGGATCCATAAGCCTTGAATTCTTCAATAGCCTTTTGGTAGACATCTATTGCTTCCTTTGGATGACCATCGGATTTTTGTTTTCTAGCATTTTTTAAATGGGCCTTACCCTTTTTGTAATGTGTGTCGAATATATTCATTTTAAATTTTAATATTTTGAGGAAAAGGTTGACCTTAATAATTAATCCGTATGCATTCTTTCTTTTGCAATTATATTGCTTTTTTTGTACAAAAGGGGCAATACAAAATATAGAAAATATAGGACTCTTACGTGCATTGTTACATACGGTGTACCACCAAAATTCATACATTTTTGGCCGAAGGGCAAACAAAAAATTTCAATAAGGCTTTTTTTAATTTGTTTTCCCGATATCACAAAGTTTAAAAAAATAAGATTATACTGTATCACATACGAGACGATAGTGTGTGTGTCACCATAAATTTATGCATTTACAAAATTTCTTTTAATTATGTGCATTTGGGCTGAATGACAGACAAAGAAAAAAGCTCATTTAAACGTTTTCTTGATATAAGTGTACATTACACTAGTGTAATACTGTAACTGCTCGATTGCTGTAAATGTAATGTACGTGACACTCATTGTTCTATCATTGTTCTATTACATACAAAAAAATTTTATGCTACCTAAAGTAATGGAACCAATATGCCTTCAAAAAAAATAAGCTTTTCAAACTGATCTTGGGTCGTCTGGATCGCTTTAATACTAAAGCGCGATTGTCTGCTACTATAAATTTTGAGACGACAGAGTCCGGTATAAGGGGACATAATTTTCATATGCGGAAATATAAGAGAGATTAAATACAGGGTTTAATTTTAAGCTTTTTTAATTTTTTTTTTCTAGTCTTTTTTTCGGGGGTTTTCTTGACTATTTTTTTCTATTTTTATCCGGTTTTTTTTTAATTATAATATTAAATTAATTACAGTACAAGAGAAAAACCCGAAATTTTTTTTTAGGAAATTCTTGTTAATAAATTGGTTTTTTCTGTTGTACAATTGCCAAATATGGAATAAACCGACTCCCTATATTACAAATTTAAAATAAATGGTGATTAGAAATGGTGGGTGTTCCATATAAGTACAATCACAGAAAGACATCAAGTAATTAAGACACTTTAGAAGAGTGAAATTCATAAAGTCACATCTCTTAAAAGAGCAACTGAATACCTGTCAAAAACACTATACAGATGGGTCAAACAACTTAGAGAAACTCATAATCCAAGTCAAAAAGGTTATTCCAGTCAGCCATTTCTTTCTATCTCTTTATAAAAATAATACAGTACATTGATCAAATTACAATGTCAAGAAGACATGTGATAAGCAATGTGTTAACAGAAAACTTTAAAAAAACTTATTCCAGCCTTAATATTGAATCTCAGACAGTTAAAAAGAATCTTCAAAAACTTGAATAAAAAGTTTATATTTCTTATCAAAATTGTCAAGGAGTATTTGCATTGCTTAAATGAAAGCTTATCAAGAAAAAAATTGGAATAAATTTTTTTTTTCAGATTACTATCAATGTTTTTTATAAGAAGAGAAATTAAAACCAAGTGAATATTTGTAAAATACTTATTTAAAGTTCATATTTGAAAGATATTTTATACAAAAAAAATAAATTGATTTTATATTTATGAAAAAAATATAGTCAACTTTCGATAAAAGAAAATTATGTAATATATAACAAAATTTATATTTTGTTATTGTAAATTCTATAATTAGATAAGATTATCATAACTAAGGCAGTATATTGATAAAATAATTATCATAAACAGAATAATATTTAACTTATTATATACTTTGCACCTAAAGATGTTTCTTTCATAAATATATCTACTGTATTATATAATATTTATACAATTCATAGAGATTTTCTTCCTGAAAACAAAGACATAATATAAGTCCTGTAAAAAAAAAAAGACTTAATGATACATTTATAGTTACTAACAGTTTCTTCACAGCACTCAATACAATTTCTATAGGTCACATTTTTTTAACTGCACTGCACAATACTCAATACATATCTCAAAAATATTGGTGCCTTTTACAATTCATTATTTGTAAGGAGGGGTAAGATAATTTATATGGCAATTATGCTTTTTTGCCTTTATAAATTCTTTGCTAATGGTATAATCAGAATATGATGGCATATACAACAAAGTTGTCATTATTGTGGATGTGCTTCCATTTAGGTATATTCCATGACTGATAGATATGATCTATCTGAGAGGTAATAAATATTTTTGTTGTGAGTTATATATTAAAGATACAGTAGTCATCATAAAAAATGCATCATGCATGTATACTAATCAAAATGGTTATTATTTCTACAATAAAGTTTTGAATATTATTAATAATTATATTATATTATTGATGACTATAAGTAGTAAATAATTAAATATATATTAACCATATTTGCTTAATAATAAGCAAGAATTGTTTAATTAATTTAAAAAACAATGGTGCATTTTTTTTCTAACTTTTTTTTAATATAAGATTAGATGTAATTTTTTGTATCATTAGATTCTTCTAAATCTCAAACTTTTTAAAATAAAAATAAGCATTCAAAATTATATTTTTTATTGATTAAAAAAATGCTGCAATTAACTATCAAACAAAAAGCTCAAACCATAATCTTAATGAAAGAAGGATATTTACTACATTCAATTGAAAATCATCTAGGTGTACATCATTCTACTATTCTCCAATTTAAAAAAAGAGTTGAAAAAACAGGTAGTATTAAAAGAAAACCAGAATCTGATCAACCTCGCAAGTTATCCAAATAAAAAAAGCATGAATGTGTGAAAAAAATCTTACGTAGTGAATGTTCAATGGCAATTTCTGTTCAAAAAAAATTATTTATCGAAAATGGTATAAAAATAAGTCATAGCACAGTACTTCGAATACTAAAGGAATATGAATTAAAGGCTAGAATTAAAAAAAAAACCCTTTTCTTATGAAAAAACATTGTCAATTAAGATTAGATTTTGCTAAAAAATATAAGAATTGGTCAGCTGAAGATTGGAGCAAAATTATATGGTCTGATGAGTCAAAATTTTAGCTAATTAATCCAAATGGTTAAGAATTTTATTGGAAAAGACCTGGTGAAAAATTTAATAGTTGTCATATAAAGCCAACTGTTAAATTTGATGGAGGATCTATTTATATTTGGGGATGTATGACTTGAAAAGGCCTTGGATACTTATGTCGAATTAATGATAAGTTGGATTCACAACTTTATGTAGAATATTATGAATTAGATAAGAATAATATAATTTTTATGCATGATAATGATCCTAAACATAAATCTAAATATACATACAATTGAATTAAAAAAATAATATAGTAACATTAGATTGGCCACCTTATTTCCCAGATCTTAACCCTATAGAGCATATTTGGAATGAAGTAGAATGTAGATTACATAATTTAGAAATAGAAATTAATAATGTAGAACAATTATGGGAATAGGTTAATAATGTATGGAATTCAATTGAAAAAGAATTTTGTAAAAAATTAATTGAAATCATGCGATGTAGAATTAAAGATGTTATTGTAGCTAGAGGGAGTTATATTGATTGGTAGTAAATAATTATAAAATCCTTTTGAATTTCAATAAAAAAATATACATTATATTCTGTTAGTAAAATTTTTAAAAAAAAATCACCAAAAAAATCGCACCATCAAAAATTATAAAACTAAGCTTTTTTTTACAAATTTTTTATTAAATAAATAAACAACTTATATATTTAAATTAAGTAATTTATTAACTATTTAAATATAAAATTATATAAAACATAATTGCCTTTTTTATTAATATATAATTGTTTTAAGTTAAAAATACAAGTGGTGCACTTTTTATGACGGCTACTGTACAACGGAAAATACAACTACCTTATCTTCGGAGTATTTTGTTGCCCGAGTTTATCCTTGATCTTTTTGATAATGGTTTAAATCCATCCACGATCCCTTCTTCCATACTATATAATGATACTTCAAGGTATAAACATTTGATTCCTCGAATTTGAGATTTTCCCGCAATTTCTATCAGGTTAAGACATCCACCATCAAACATTCTTTTGACGGACAACTATTATAAAAACATAAACATTGTGTGATCATCAGTCCCCAAGGACCTAGGCATTTTCCAACAACAAACCTGACTCCGTTGATGAATTATTGACGACCAGAACGCTTGCAGGTACTGTAAATCATTGAACTCAACCTTGACCTTTTAAAGAAAACACAATGTCATCAATATATCGTCGCTTCAAATCATAATAAGTGGCATGAAGAGTAAGAAAGTGGGTCGCGTATGGTAAGACTAAGATTTACTTAATACTCTATCCAAGATTTACGTGTCAAGAGTTATCTATACCTGGGATTTACCCCTCTGGATTCAAGAGTTACCCTTCTACTAAGTAGCAAGAACATGTTCACCTTATTTATCAAATTGTCTCCCAAATGTGTTATCTCTAATAGAAATCGTTAGTTCCATAAACCGTGTAAAGTAGTCCAATTTTTCGTAAACGGGGAGATATCTCTCTGTTGGCGCTCAGGAACTGCAAGTAAGATATATTCTTCGGAAGAGTATTAGCCACGTGGGTACGAAGAACTGTAGGGTGAATATTACTTGATGCCTTCAAACAATTGACGAAGACTACCGGAATGACCGTATCCATCACTGACTGTTTTTCGTGTAAAATTTTTTCTGTATTGGGCAAGGTTGGTAAAAAAGAAAGCGAATTTTGTTTTTATCATAACGGAAACGTCGCGACATCCGACACGACGGCTTCTTACTACTAGACGTGTTTATTGTGCGAGAAAAAAAAGATTAAACGATGTGGGCAATAAGAGATGTTGATCACTTCTTCGTATTTGAAAATCTTAGTACAGTAATAGTGTAACCATTGTAAGGCAGGGCAGGAGTGGAGTTTTTATCTAACGTTCCGTTTTTGATCACTTAACTTTAAGATTGGTTTCACTGATAACCGATAAGTATAGTTGACCATATGAATCTAAATTTTTTGTAATGTTCCAACAGTACGATTAATGTCAGCATATCGAAAAACTTATTTGACATGTATTGCTCTAACTCGTCTCATTCGCGGTCCAACCGCTACCGCACCTACTGTATATTGCATCTTAACTATTTTTTTTTAGTCAAACCAATAATTATACAGTAATTCAATACATTCTAAGTAAAAAAGGATTGTTTTTATCCAAAATTTATGAAATATAATAAAGAATGAGTTAAAAATTTACATCCATCCATAAAGGACTATATATGTATGTTGTACGCTGAATGTCCTATATGTAATATCAGGAAAAAAGTTTGTGGTTTTTGACATCAATATCTTTAGCAGTTACATCTTCCCCAATCGCCCAAACATCTGGATAAAAAAAAAAGATAATAAATTTCTAGCGTTAACGGAGTGAAATTAACGAAAGTCACAAAGGGAAAAAAAGCTAGGCAACGGTTTTAAACTTATAGCTTATAGAACCCGATCATCATGATTGAGTCCAAGAAATTATAAATTAAAAATCCGAAATAGGGTTTCTAAAATATTTTAATATTCTACTTACATCCAACAAAATTGATGACCACATCCGGGTCTTCTGCATGTCATGTGATTACATCCACCATTTTTCTCAATTCTACACCTACACCTTGGGCATTGCTTTAGTTGATTTACGTAGTTTTCGGATGCATTTTCAGAATTTTGAAGTGCTGCTAATCTTCGTTGCTCTTCCTCTTGTCGCCTACGTTCTTCTTCTTCCCTTCGCCTACGTTCTTCTTCTTCTCTTCGCCTACGCTCTTCCTCTTCTCTTTGCCTACGTTCTTCTTCTTCTCTTTGCCTACTTTCTTCCTCTTCTCTTAGTTTGCGTTCTTCTTCTTCTATTTCTTCTTTTATTAATATGCGTTGTTCTTCTTCTATTATTCTAAGTTCTTCTTCTTCCTTTTGCCAACGTTCCTCCTCTTCTTTTAGTCTACGTGTTTCTTCTTCTATTTCTTCTTCTCTTAGTCTGCGTGTTTCTTCTTCTATTTCTTCTTCTCTTAATCTGCGTGTTTCTTCTTCTATTTCTTCTTCTATTAACATGCGTTGTTCTTCTTCTATTAACATGCATTGTTCTTCTTCTATTAATAGGCGCTGTTCTTCTTCTACTAATATGCGCTGTTCTTCTATTATTTTATGTCCTTCTTCTCTACATTGTTTGCACTCAATATCAATTGGGAGTCCATGTACAACACAAGATTTCTTCCCACACGAATTGCAGACCATTATCGGAACATCTTTAAGGAAATAATAAATTTAAAATAGATATATGAATAATGATGTTACTATTATATTGTAATCTACCTTCTTGATAGTGATCCTGTCCTGATCCGCAATTTGGATTTAAGCACCATTGGAAAGTAGAAATCTGAGATAATGCAATATTTAGCAAGAATCTTTCATACCTGCAGTAAAAATACAAAAGCTTTATTTTACTTTCTAAAGAACTCATACACAATTAGATTCAATAAACACACCGCCTGAATGACTCCTCACTTGCGAATTTTTTTATATCCTTCTGATTTAATATTTCGTTACATCCATCTTCCGGACACTTGATTTTAACATTTCCATTATCTTCAAGTTCGTGCTTGATGTATTCGCCTACACATTCACGACATATATTATGACTACACTGGTCAGTAATATTCAAAAAGGCTTCAATGTCGACATTCTCAGTGCATATTATGCATTCTTTTTTTCTGAATATTTGTTTAGGAACTTGTTGTTTGCGTCCATCTTCAAACAAAGTTTGTTCTTCTCTTAAAAGTCTGCGTTTTTCCTCTAATAATCTACGTTATTCCTCATATTGTTTACGTTCTTCTTCCAGCAATCTACGCTCTTCTTCTACTCGTTCGCGCTCCACACTCAATGTTAAACCATTGTTTTTTGTTGAAATATTTTGGGAGGTACTTTCAATTGTAGCATCGTGAAAAAAGAATTCTTTAGGAGGACTTCCATTGTATGAATATTCATAACTGCTATCAGCCCAAAAGGTATAACCTTCGACATCAAACCGCGCAAGAAATCCAAAATGTAAGGGTGTATTAGGAACTTTAAAGGTGGAAATTTCAAAATAATATACTTCTTGATTATTAAAAAGAGTAGGTAATTGTGATGCGATTACGCTATCTCCCACGTCCCAAGAATTTATAGTGTATTCTATTGTCACTATTTTCTCTTTGTGGTTACCAGAATGTACAATAACCTGCCCGTAAAGATCAATCACATTGTTTTTTTCACCAGTAACCTTTACGGATTTTATAAATATTTTATTTGACATTTTGAAAGTTTTTATTTGAGAATATACTGTACATTAATATTGTTAATGTTTGGTTTCAAATTAAACATCAGTAAAACTTTGATATTTATAAAAAATTGATTTCTATATCGAATAATAGATAACAATTCAATAGCGTGCTCCGGATTTTGGGGTATTTCATGAACTTGTCGTAGTGTTGTGTTTGTTTAGGAAAAATTTTCTAAATTCTAACGCTGAATAAAGTAGTCAATTATTTTATTTCCAACTTTTTATGCACAATCCTGAACTGAACAAGCAAATAATGATAATGATTCAATAGCGTGACTCCGAATTTTGGGGTATTTCATGAATGCGATGCGTTGTCGTATTGTGTCCGAATTAGAAAAAATAATCATTGGCATGAGTTAACACAGCGCGAACGTTACGCGATAGCTAGTCTGAAGTCTCGATTTAATATTGCGTTTTTTGGCAGCAATGGGAAAAACCAATATCTATTCTTTATATACAGTACATTGATCACATTTTAACTTTAATAATTGCAAGACACGTGATTAGTCTAACCGTATAAGGGGTAAAATGGAATGTGGGTTCATCATGCGATCGTTGTGAAATATCGTTAGAATTTACTGGAGAGTTCAAAACAACCGTAGAAATGCTTTTTTTTTACTGTTCTAATATAGCGAGTCTAGTCTCAAGCCCTGTATTCTTTTGTTCTAGTACCTCGACTCTAACTTTAGCAAAAAAATTTTCAAGCTCGGGAATCTTAGCATTCTCCTTTCTAAGCTTTCTAAGCTCCACGATTTCATCTAAGAGTTTAGCATTTAATTCTCTTAATGAATCGTTGGACTGCATGTTTGATAACAATTTTTATATAAGATGGAATAATTCAAAAGTTCACTAGCATGGATAAAAAACGAGGTAATATCTTGATCGGAATTACTGATTTATTGGTGTAAAAATAAATTACAAGATTCGTAATACATAAATTTGTTTACGAAGTGAAATGGCGTTTCAATAATAATGACTTGTTTTTCGCTTGTCTACAGTACTAATATACATTATCCCGGTATTAAAATATATGTTGTCTGCATTCCGAGATGCTAGTAAGGTTTGTACGAAAAGTGGTATTCACTTGCGAGCCTAATGCTTCTTTTAAACTGCACAGGTGTATTATAGTACTGCGCATTTATTTTTTTAAAAACGCCGACTGTCGCAAATCTATCGTGACGTAGAGTGAGAATTACCTGTTTTTAGCTAGATGTACTAATACGTATAGCATTTTTTTTGAAACAGATTATGTAAACAGAAATTGGACTTACAGTATATACAAAAATGAATGGAAAGAAACGTCCGTTAAGTAGTCTTTTAGGCTGTCCTTTAACAAGGTCTTTATTTGTACTTATTGGAAAATCGGTTTTAAATCCCGTTTAAACTCTCGATTTACACGTTTGCAGTATCATGTCATTTTGTATTATGGTGGGTACCAAAGTAGAGAACTCCATTGCAGTTAAAGGCGAGGCAGGAATGAGCATTGCGGAACTCAAGAACATAATCTATGAGAAGAATAAGAACGATTTCAAAAATTTTGATGCCAACAAGTTTAACCTATGGAAGGTGGATATTCCTGGTGATGCAAAAAATGATAAATTCGTTAAACCAAGAACACTTGCAAACAGATCTCATGATGAAAATACTATTATACAAGAGCTCGAAGGACAATAGTTGATTCCATTTGATGGGTCTAATGACATTTTTGTGTATAGTGAACTTGAAGAATATTTGCATCATCATGCAACTACCACTGGGAAGAGTAGGGCTCTGAAAAGTACCAAACTGGTATCAAATGATATTAATATATAGTAAATTTAATATATTAGTTATGATACTTATATGAATTTATAGTAAATTTAAGTATCGAATTGATATCAAAGTGGTATCATTAAAAGCCCTAATTAAATGACTACTTAATGGATAAGCCTTGTTTTTTTCCATTCTGTTAATATTTTATAACCAACCTTATTATATGAATTGTATATCTTTAAATTTATTATAGCTATACCTCAAGTTAATTTGAAAGATCTATATTTAATTTAATATAGATACAGAACTACAACTCAATTGGAGTGATTAAAATAAACCCACATTGCTTGTTGAATCATTTAGTACTTAATTTATTTTATGTGGTCATAAAAACATTATAAATATTTTCTGATATAAAAATAGAACAAATAGTTATTCCTTAAATTATAGAACATTTTTTATAACATTTAAAATTTTTTAATTAAAAAATCATTTTTCATTTATTTTTAAAATATTTTTCTAAAAATTTAAATAATATTAGTTTTAATTATATATTACTTATTAATAATATTTTTTTTTTATTTATTTAATAAAAAATTGAAATTTAATTATAAGCAAAATTTTTAATTTTTAAAATAATTTTTTAAATAAAAGTTAATCTTGGACAAGCAGAAAAATTTATAAGTTAAAGTTTATATAATTCATAAGTAGTTTTGTAGAATTAATTGTAAAGAAAAACTTTAATTATTACGATTTTAATGATTTAATTATAAAAATTTTAACTTGTATTGGAAATAAAATAATTTTTTACTTTAAATATATATTAAATTTTATATAAATTTTATATTAAAATTTTAAACACAAAGTATAAAGTTAGTTATTTTAAAAATTCTAATAAAATTTTAATTTTTACTTAATAAAGTTAATAAAAAATATCTTAAACTATATTTTTTATAATATAAGTAAATTATAAAAATTAATATTTAAAATTTTAATATGATTTTTAAAAACTTATTAAAATTTAAATATGTAATTAAATTTGCCTGTATTACAATTTAAGAAATTAAATTTTAAACTGTTTTAGCAACTATTGTAGTACAAATCCAAAAGAATTATAATTTTTATACAATTTTATTTATTGGTTGTAATCTTAATATAAAAAAAAATCAATTTTTGCAAGAAATCTATAACATTATTTATAAAAAAAACCCAATAATCAAATAATAATAAAATTAAATATATACTAAAAAAAGCAATTTTTTTGAACATTACATATGGAAATAAACATTATTTTCAGATTTTAATATAAATATTGATGTGAAAACTTTATTAGCACTAAGGATTTATATATTTACTTTATATATAGCAATAAAAGCTTGCCCTATAACTTGTTTGAACAAACTATTAGAAAAAATGCTAAGAAAGTAGATCTGGAATTGTTTTATAAACTATTTATAAAAGCAAAATAAAGAAAAAAGAAAAAACTTGCAATTATTGTTGAAATCAATGAGATTAAATTATAAAACATAAATTAAAATGCTTTTTTTTATCTTATAGTTAGTATTAATGAAACAAGTTATAATTTATAATCAATTTTTTTGTTTCAATCTTATCAAGAACAATTAAGAATCATCATTATTAGAATTATTAAATATGTATATCTCATATACTATTAATTGTGCATAATTTTAAATTTGATAAAACTTTTGTTTATTAAAATAATTTTTTCAAATATATTATTATTAATATAAGTGATTATATATATATTTTATAAATATTCTATAAATTAATTTGAAATAAATCAAAAACAAATAAATTAAAAATATTGATTTAATAAATATTATATATTGTAAAGAACTAGAAACTTCTTTAATATTTAATTAATACAATATTGCAAGGCTTGAATTGAAATATAAAAGAAATTTGATTTAAATTCTTTACTTAATTTTTAACAAAAATCTTAACATTTATATTTGAAATTATTACTCAAAACTTTTAATATTTCCTGTTATAAAAGCTTAACTTTATTAAACCATTTTTTAAACTTTATTATATATATTAAAAAAACTATTCTAATTATTTTTACTATTTCTGAAATTTCAACTATTCTAGCTATTTTAAAATTATTAAAATAACAAAAATCATCAGAATTCTGAAAATTTTAAAAATTTTAAAAATTTTAAAAATTGATATTAATTTTGATTTTTATAATACTTATTTAAAAAAACTATATTTATATTATAACTTTAAAACTTTTGTAAATCAAATTACTTCAATACTTATAAATATTCTTTTAAAATATTCACAAAAATAAATAATAGTATTTATATAGGTTGATATAAAAGTCTATATTTTTTAAACAAAATACTAAAATCTGTTAACATTTTGACACTTAAACCCAAATAATAGTACAAGATTATATATATATATTCCATATATTAATATATAACTTTTGATAAAATATTAGCAATCAGTTAATTTAAAATTTGTTAATTAATTTTAAAGAATAATTTTTCTAACAATAATTAAAAAATTTTTATATGAATTTTAAATCTTATATATATACTTATTTTTAATACTTGGATACAAAATCATAAAATTAAAGAAATTATTAAAGAAAAAATAATATTCAAATATAGATATAAATATAAATATAGATGTTTTAATTATAATTTAATTCAAATATCTTAATAAACAATATCTATTTTTTTTTATCACAAACAAGCATTAAATGCAGGACTTTATTTAAATAAAAGTATTTACTGTCATTACATTAATAATCTTTATATAGTAAATTAATTGTAGCCTATTGCAACAAAACTATTGAGACCAGGTATCACTACAGGAGTGGGCTCGCAACAATAGTGCTGAATGGCTAATGCCTGTTCAGAATGATAATATTACTGTTGGAGTAAAAATTGACTTGTCAGTAAAATTGTGTGAAGCACAAAGTAAATCTAAAATTGTGTTAAATGATGTGTTATCATTTGGATCTGAGCTTGATGGCTTTGTAGATAGAGTTTTTTTTCATTTTATGCCTGATAATAGTGATGTGATTGCAATAGCAAATCGTGATTTCCAGGCTTTATATAAGATTTTGAGAGTATAATTAGAAATAATTTCTTTTTTTTGAAGAAGATTAAATGGAGGATTGAATTTGCCAATGGCTAAATTTAACAAGTTATTGTCTGTTAATTTGAACGTGCCCACAAAGTCAGTGA